GTGGGTGTTTTGTTCACATGTAATGTCTGTGCACTATGTGCATGCAGTGCCTTTGGAGGCCAGAAGAGGGCATTGGAGTCCTTGGGACTGGAATTATAGACGGTTGCAAGATAACATGTACTGGGAACTGAACCTGGATCCTCTGCAAGAGCAGCTAATGCTTTTACCCACTAAGCAATGCTCTTACCCACCAAACTATCTCTCCAGTCCCCTGAAAGCTTTCTTTGGAACAGTCCAGAAGTGTGTCTCCAACCTGGTGGCTTACAACCATCAATTTACTCCAGTTCCAAGAGATCCGACACCCTCTGCTGGCATCCATGAATACTGCATGTGGTCAAACACAAATGAAAGTAGGTAAAACCTCAAAAATAAATGAAATAATTTTAATAACAGGATAGGAGGCTGGGTGGTGGTGGTAATGGCATATGCCTATAATCCCAGAACTCTTGAGGCAGAGGCAGGAGGGTCTCCGTGAGTTAGAGGCCAGCCTGGTCTACAGAGTAAGCGCCAGGATAGGCTCCAAAGCTACAGAGAAACCCTGTCTTGAAAAACAAACAAAAACAAAAAAGAAGAGAGGAGGGATGGAGTTGCAGCTAGGTGTGGTGGTGCATGATTGCAGTCCAAGCACTTAGGAGGCAACAGCAAGAGGATCACCTTGAGTGAGGCTAATCTGGTTTATGTAGAAAGTTCCAAGTGAGTCAGGACTGCATAGTGAGACCCTGTCCCGAAAAGCAAAAGAGGAAAAAAGAGAGAGAAAGAGGGAGAAGGTGAAATGAAGAGGAAGAAAGATATTGAAGACGACACTGAAATGTAAAAGAGTTATGAAATAGATATAAAGAAGAAACATTTGAAAGGTAGCTTCTAGAAATAAAACAAAACAACAAAAAGTGACATTGAAAAATTATTGAGAGAACAAACTGAAGACTAAGCCTGACTGAGGAGGAATTTAGCAACGAAATGAAGTGCAAAAGAGGTTTCCAGAATAATTTAGAATGACTGAGAAAGAAATATGAAAAAAGCAAAACAGAGACCTGACTATTTCTCCAAAAGGATGAGGCATGGTTTTAATGTGGCATTTCTAGTGACGACTTATGAATTTGCAGAACTGTGAGAAGTCTTCAGGTCTGAGAAGTCAAGGGTGGCAGGAATAGTCAGCATTCACCAATTGCCCGTGTGCTTCCCCATTTCTAGGCTTGTTTGAAGTTTGGTAAGAGTCAGGTGACTATTTCCAGGTAATGCTACCTCTTGGCTAGGATAGTTCCAAACAGTACAATGTCTTGAAATTACAGTTTATTTTTCTTCCATTTAATTTTTTTTCTTTTTGGTTTTTCAAGACAGGGTTTCTCTTTATTGCTTTGGAGTCTGTCCTGGAACTAGCTCAGTAGACCAGACTGGCCTCAAACTCAGAGATCCTCCTGCCTCTGCTTCCCGGGTGATAGAATTAAAGGTGTGCGCCACCAACACCCAGCCAACACGTTTAAATTTTTTATTTACTTACTCTGTGTGTGTACGTGCGTGAGAAAGAGAGAGAGAAAAAGAGAGAGACAATGCTTCTATAGAGGGCATAGGACAACTGTACATATTGATGCCCACCTTCTATCATTTGAGTCCTGGGGATTGAACTTGGGTTGTCATGCTTGGCTGTAGTTGCCTTTACCCGAGGAGCCAACAACGCAGTTCAGAGGAATATTTTCCACATTCGGAACTCAGTTAACTCATGACTTTGGGGAAAGTTGCTTTGAGTCAAAGGGCACAATCTTGCCTTCATTATGTTCTCTTCCCAGGGCCAGTCCACCCCCACCTACCAAGGATTCAAAGTCCTGACCTACTTTTTTCATTTGGGGCAGTTCTGAAAGGAGACATTCATGGCAGAGCCCTTTTGTGATGGGCATGTGATGGGCTTGTGTGATGGGGAGAGCCTTGGATGCCATGGCTCCTTCCCCATCCTGCCATCCTCACTTCTCATGAGCACTATTTCTAAGAAGGTACCCCATTAACTTCCTGCACACCAATTTCTATCTTAAAGTTTGTTTCTGGGAAAACCAACTAAAGATGCCAGCTTCTCTCTTCCCCTTTGTTGTGACCTTGGAAGCCACCTGTTCCAGATGGTGCAGCTAGGAGATGACATGATCTTCCATCTGCTTGCTGTTGCCATCTCTCAGTGACTATGAAATTCAAAGTGACACCTCAAGTCACTGGGGTATCTGTGGTAGCTTGTTTAAGACAGGGTCTCATAGCCCAGCAAACCTCAGATTCACTGTGTAGCCAAAGATGACCAGAAGTTCTGATTCCCCTGCCTCCACCTCCTGAGTGCTGACACTGTAGGCATGTGGTACTGGGACTTGAACCTGGAACTTTTTTGCATGCTCAATAAGTACTCCATTAACTGAGCTACATTCCCAGCCAATCCTGGGTAACTTTTAACCTCTGTTTGCCTACCCCTTGTGCCTAGTACAGCTGTTCATGATAAAACAGTTGAAATGATCTCTAAACCAGTAGATAGAGAAACATGTCTATAAGTAGAGATGGGGGAAACAGAATGTGAGAAGGGAACAAAGAAACTAAGAATGTGGCACTTTATCCCAAACAACTGGAATGGAAGGTAAGAGGCGAGCAAACAGACAGTTCTCATGAGATGGTTGGAACAAATGCAAATCCCTCTGTAACTATCACTCCAAACATTAACGGAGCGAATGGAGTAGTGAAAAGAAATGTGCCGCCACGCTAAAACTCTAACCACAAGCTGTTTACACAAGGCATGGTTAAAACGTAGTGACAGGAAGGGTTGAAAGGCAAAGGCAAAGGGGTGACTCAGATAAATGGTAATAAAAATGGTGAACCCAGACTGCACCAGCAGCTGGGACCTGAGACAAAGCACCACGAAGAATGTCATTGCAAAGTCGTTCTTTTCCTCAGCAGGGTGAGGCTCAGAACTGTGTGTGCAGCATTTCTTCTTTTTATTACATTTATTTATTAGTGTGTTCATGTGTGCATGTATGCATGCATATGTGTGCACATGTGTGTGGAAGCCAGAGGACAATCTCTGGGGTGGTTCTTCCTCAGGTGCCACCCATCTTGTTGTTTTGTTTTGTTTGTTTGTTTGAGACAGAGTCACTCATTGGCCTGGGGCTTAAAGACTAGGCTAGGCGGGCTGGCCAGTGAGCCCCAAGGATCTGCATCTGTCTCTGTCTCCCTAGTGCTGGGGTTACACTCACCAACTTTTTTTTTTACTGGGTTCTGGGATTTGAACTCATGTCCTTAGGTTGGTACAACAAGCACCTTACCACCTGTTATTCCCCCATCGTAACTGTCTCCCTCCTGATCCCTTCCTCTAAGCTGTTTCACAGAGGACTCGCTAGTGTTCTGAGATCCCCCTGAGCTTCTGAGGAGCCCAGTGAGGACAGGGTTTGCCTGAGAGTCTTCTCTGAGTCCTGCATAGAAACATCTTGTACACAGGAAGAAGTCAACAAAAATGTCACTTGCCCGTGTTTCCACTAGTCCCAGCCAGTGATGTGCGAGCAGGGAGGGGGTGGGTGGCCCTGTGAAACCAGAGGCAGGGCCCTGCTAAGGGGCCTCCTTTGGAGCTGCCGGCTTTCCTCATCTTGTCCCACAGCTTCTCTGTACTGAATATGATTCTGCCCAGTGCCATCTCCCTGGAATCACCTAGCTCTAGACCTCCAGATTAGAGCCTGTCAGGTATCTCTGCGCAATGTCCTGCAAGTGATGTTGAGCTTGGTTAGGAATTGGGAGACATCATCAGTATGTGGCAATCAGCTGAGCAGAAAAGGGCTCTCATCTCCATATGAAACACCCATCCCACCACAAAATAGTGTTGACTCTATTCAGTTCGGCAGGAAGGAAATTGGACCCAGTGACAGGGGTACAGTTTTGTACTTTTTTTTTTTTTTTTTTTTTTTTTTTTTTTTTTTAACAAGGCAAGATGGAGGTACACCAGTTTGGCACAGCATACAACCAAAATGTTAGGGCTTATGGAAGCAGGGTGCTAAGAATACCATGTGTGTCAGGATAGCTCCCTAAACCTAGGAATCCACAGAAAGGAGACAAGAAAAGCTATTAAACAAGCCCTTCCCTGTTGTGGGATATTTGATCACGTTGAGTGAAGATTTGTCACTGTTTTATCTTGCCTGGCTAAGACACCCTCTGATTGGCTTAATAAAGAGCTAAATGGCCAATAGCTAGGTAGGAGAAGATGGGTGGGGCTTCCATCCAGGCAGAGATAGGAACTCTGGGAAGAATATGAGAGGCAGGGAATTTACCAGCCAGATGCAGAAGAAGTTGGTATACTGTACTGAAGAGAGATAACAAGCCACATGGCAGAATGTAGATTAATATAAACAAGTTAATTTAAGTTTCAAGAGCTAGTTGGGAATAAATTCACGCTAAGGCTTTCATAATTAACTAGAAATCTCCATGTCATTATTTGGGAGCTGGAGGTCCAGAGAAAGACCTGTTACACTTCCCCATTGTCCAACCCCATGGCTGGCCTGGCCTTCCTGCTGGAGTGGAGGCTGTAGCTGGAGATGATGGTGTAGCCTATAATCCCTGCCCATGGGGAGGGCAAGGGAGAGGATTGTGAGTGTGAGGCTAGATTGTCTCAAAATAAAATGGAGGTGTGAGAAGTAAGGGAGAGAGAGAGAACGCTGTGCAGAGCCATACTGAGGTGACTGCTCCATGGCCTGCTTTGAAGAACCACAGTAGGTCCTAGCCAACCTTCTCCTACCCAGAAGCTGCTACTATTTGCCCTAGCTGGGTCAGATTTGAGGTCTCTCTGAGGATTTTGCTTCTGAATGCATCACAGATGTTGCATTGAAGGACTACCCTTCGCCAGCCTGGTGCATGGGTGTGGCAAGGGGGTCCTGATTTCTATGGGAGGAGAATCTTGAAGAAAAGGGGCCTGTGAAAAGCATCCTGAACTCCCCTACTGCAGAGGCTGGTCCTCTGAAAACCCTGGAACTCGGCCTTAGAACAGAGGCACATACCTGTGGCACCTGGTCTATACGGAACAGCATGGGGAGCTTCCGGCTCAGCATCTTGACACCCGGGTGGGTAGGCAAGGTGGTTGAGGTCACTCTGGCCTCCCAGCAGGTCCCACTCAGAGTTGTGGCATACCAGGGATAGCTGGGTGGCTTCCCTGAAAGAGGACAGCAAGATGAAATTAGATGCGATTCCACCTAACTTCAACTGGATCAGGTATCTGGTGGCTCAACTATTGCACATTTGCTTTAGAATGATAGCAAAACAGCCAAGATTCCCATGGCTGGGGAATGTGACTCTGTAGAGTGCTTGCCTGGCACACATGAGGTTCTGGGTTCAATCCATAGCACTGTAAAGCGACAGGCATGCTGGTGTATGCCATCACTCCTGGCTCTGAGGAGGTGGAGGCAGGGGGAGGTCATCCCTATCTCCTGACTAACCTGGGCTACTTGAGACCCTGTCACAATAAAAGTAAATATTTCTTTAAAGTAGCGATGATTCAGACTGCTAACAGGTAAGCAATTAGATCCTTCAATGACTGATTGTTGTGGAATGTTATTTTAAGATGTGTTAAACTTTTTTATGCTATGGAGCATTTGTTTTAATGATACCAAGATGTGTTGCATTCTTTTATATCCCACTTGTTTAACTCTGTGAAGCAGTGTTACTTTGCCTGTCTAAAACACCTGATAGGTCTAATAAAGAGCTGAACGACAGTAGCTGGGCAGGAGGGAGAAACAGGCAGGGCTGGCAAGCAAGAGAATAAATAGGAGGAAGAACAGGATCGAGGAGCAAGAAAAGAAGGACTTCAGGGGCAAGGCACCCAGCTACACAGCAAGATGCAGGGTAAGGAGCAAAGAAAGTATACACAAATAGAGAAAGGTAAAAGAGCAGAGGCAAAAGACAGATGAGATCATTGAAGTTAAGGAAAGCTGGCTAGAAACAAGCCAAGCTAAAGCCAGGCATTCATAAATAATAATAAGCCTCTATGTGTATTTTATTTGGAAGCTGGGTGGTGGGCCCCCCAAAAAGAGCCAAAAAAGTTAAAAAAGCAAAAACAAAACAATCCAACTGATAACTGCAATATGAAAGTTTTGACCTTCAAAATGTGAATTCTATAATTCAATCCCCTGTGTGGTCTGGAGTAAGGCCTTTGGAAAGTAATGAGGTCATGAGGGTCCCACTCTTTTGAATGGGATTAGTACTCTTATCACAAAAGAGCTTTCTTGACACTGGGTCCTGGGAGGACACAAGGAGAAGGAGCCATCCATGAAGAAGAAAGACTCTCAGTATACTGCTCCAGAACTGGAAGCAATAAATTTCCATTGTTTATAAACCACCCAGTGGTTTATGTATTTTCTATAGAAGAATGAGCTGAGATTGCGGTAGGAAACCGCGAGATTGTGGAGGATCCGAGGCCACCCACTCTCTGCCGGGTGAGCAGTAGGATGCTTTTCTCAGAGTTGCTGTGCTAGGAAGAACTGAAGCTACTCAATCTGTACTCCACCAAGGTAGGCAGAGCAATCTCAAGTCTGTGCCACACCAAGTGACATTTGGAGACAATGGGGGGACAATTCAGTGGGTAAATATGTTTGACTCCAAGCCTGAAGACCCAAGTTCCATCCCCAGGACCCCCATGGAAGGAAATAAAACAACTATAAGTTGTCCTCTATTCTTGTACTGTGTCCTCCATGCACTCACTCACTCACTCACACACACACACACACACACACACACACACACACACACACACACACACTAAACTACTCATTTTTAATAAAAAATTTAAAAGAGGACAAAGAAGCATGCTCTAACTCAGAGCTGACTCTTCCAGAGCACTGACCACAGCTCTGTCACATGAAAGAACCAGGCCAGGCAAAAATCCAAAGAGCTTCTTGGAGACACTGCAACTTGAAGTAAACAATAAAGCTGATCAAACACAGGATTAAGACTGTTTAGTAACTTATAAATAATATGAATTACAGAAATCTAATGTTCTCACACGGCCCACAAAAAAAAAAAAAAAAAATGCTGCTTTAGCACAGAGAGGACAAAGCTAGGGACTGACCACAGTGTGGATCTTCTCTCTGCCATCGTCCCTGGACCAAAGCCTGTTGCTTCCTTAGAGCCCCCTTCATGTCCCCCATCAATACAGGGGAGTCCTTCCCTGCCTCTGAGAGCCCAGGGACCTTGCCTAACCTCCTTGGGTCACCAGTCACATTCCTCCTGGGACCTCTGTGGCTGGCTGGACAGGCTCACATCATGCACATACACATAGAGAAATAAATAAAAGGAAGGCAGTTAGGGAAGATATGCAGCAATCTCCGGCCCCCACATGAACACATACACCACCCACAAGTAACAGAATTGACTTTAATTAAAGGGAATTACATCCTGGCACAAAGCACCAAGACTGAGTTTCTCCCAAGCACTGGGAGATGATGGGAAACAGGATGTTTGTGATGGGTGCAGCCTGGGCAGCAAGTAGGGAACCATTCCTGCCAACTCAGCAAGCTGAGACAAATTCACAGATAAGAAAGAACTTGACTGACCTGTTTCAAAAGTGCAAGGCTTCTGCTGTTATAGTCTTACAGCATTTAAAGTGATGACACCTTTCCTATGACTATCTGTCAGCCAACATCTAAAATGCCCATCTTTGTTTGTCAATAATTGCAGAAGACCAGTGGCTGATGGTGGGGAGTCATGGCACACTGCCAATCTTAAGCCTTTCAGACATCACTGAGCCTAGAATGAATTCCTTGATCCTTTTCGTTCTATTTGTCGGGAAACAAGCTCTTCATTCCACAGACACTAGAAAAACCAGACTACAATTTGCAGGATTGCCAACATTGCAGCTTGGGTTGCTGTGTCTTTGTCTAGGAGTCTAGAGACAAGCTTGAATCTAACCAAAGGGCTTCTGTTCTACTTTTAATTCTGTTGCTGTAAAGCTCTCAGATTTAAAAAAAAAAAAAAAAAAAATCTTGGGGACAATGGGTTTGTTTTAGCTACAATTTCCAGGCTATCGTCTATCACTGTCTGGAAGTCACAGTGGCTGGAGTTTGAGAGAGCTGGCCACACAACACCAACAGTCAACAGGAGGAATGAATACATGCTCACTGGATTGTGGTGAGCTCACTTTCTTCATTCTTGTGCAATTAGGGAACCCCTGCCTAGGGAATGATATCACCCACAGTGACCTAATTTTCTTACATCAATTAATTTAAGATAATTTTGTGCAAACATCTCAAAGGCCAACCCAATGTTGACAGTTGTGTCAAGTTGACAATTAATCGTCACAGTTTCTAAGATGAAACTCAAACACATGAGAATGACACAGCTTATAAGTGCTTCATACAAGACTTCATCTTATAGAAACTTCCATGGCTTTAATCACAAAAGGACCTGAGATGTTTCTCAGTTGGGAGAGACCTTGCCTAGCATGCATAAAGCTCTGGGTTTGAACCTGGGCACAATAGAACCAAGTAGAGTTGTGCACAATTGCAACCCCTGCACTAGGGAGGTAGAGGCAGGAAGATAGCTCAAGGTCAGCCCTGAGACAGAGCAGATGACTCTCTGAGTTCCAGGCCAGCCTGGTCTACAAAGTGAGCTCCAGGACAGCCAGGGATACACAGAGAAACCCTGTCTCAACAAAAGAATCAAAAAGTGGCTACACAGAGGGTTCCAGGGCAGCCTGGGATACAAGACACACCACTTCAAAAAAGGAAGTGTGGTATTGCAATGTTTCCACAAGGACTTGCTAGAGTTACTCTGAAATATCCTTTAAAAAAAAAAGCCCATGAGAATAAAACTACGATCTCATGTTAGGACTCAAACTCAAGGGCATCTAAAAATCAATTAGAAGTAGAATCTGAATGTGGGTACCTTATTCATCTCATGATGGGGTTCCATTCTTGCGAGTCCCTCCCTTAGAAGATAACAACCTCAGCTGGGGTACTCCACACCTTTATATATGTTTATATCAACTTGTCACAAGCTAGAGCTACTGTGGAAGATGGAACCAAAACTGAGAAAATGCCCCCACCATACTGGCCTGTAGTACATATTTTTTTAAACTGATGATCAATATGGGAGGGCCCAGCTCACTGTGGGCAATGCCATTGCTGGGCTGGTGGTCCTGCATTCTATAAGGAAGTAGGATGAGCAAACCATGGAGAGCAGGCCAGAGCTTCTGCATCCTGCCTCCAGGTTCCTGTGCTGCTTGAGTTCCTGTCCTGACTTCCCATGATGATGGACTATAAGCCACTGCAATATAAATTTAACCCTTTCCTCCTGATTGCTTTAGGTAATGGTGCTTTATCACAACAACAACAAAAACGCTAAGGTACCTAACAAATATTGTCATATAAGGTGGTCCAAAATAATCTGGTGAGTTGTTTCCCCAATGACAGGGTCCAAAAATTTAATAACTTATAGTAATATAAATAAACCAAAAATTAGTCACCTTACTAGTATGAGCTTATTAATTTAATGTAACACGCATATTGAATTCCAAGTGTACTTAATACAGTACTTTTAAAAAGAGTCCACATTTATTATATGTATTGAAGTCTTCATTTGTGTCATCACAGACAACATCTTTATCAACACTGCCACTTTTTTGATTTGCTTCATATAATTTGGCTAAAGAATATTATCTAGGGGCTGGAGAGATGGCTTAGGGGTTAAGAGCAGTGACTGCTCTTCCAGAGGTCCTTAGTTCAATTCCCAGCAACCACATGGTGGCTCACAACCATCTGCAATGAGTTCTGGTGCCCTCTTCTGGCCTGCAGTCTCTGTATACATAATAAAAAAATAAATAAATAAATCTTAAAAAAAATTTGTAAAAAAAAAAAATTATCTAATCCTTTGTCCATTATATAGAGGCTCAGAAAACAGCACCCCAACTCCTCATCAAGTTGAGGGAGACTAGAAGGCCTCAGAAACAAGGGCTCTCTGACCTTCTCCTGCCCTATCCTCTGTCACCTCTCTCGCCTAAAGCAAGCTGTAACACTCAGAGAGTTTGTGGTCTCAGGTTCCTTTGCAGATCCTGATTCCAGCAAAAGGAGGGTATGCTGCATAGAGAGGCAAAACAGATTCTGAGCAGACAGGCCTGGCTGGGGTCCCACTGATGGTCCTATGCAGTAGGCCACACTCTGC